TCCAATGAGCTCAACTCTGTGGACGCGTTCATCGACTGTATGTCCGGTTCGCCTAATGTCTTGGACTGGAAGTAATCGTCCGACTCGTCGCTCCATTCAATATTGACGGGTCCGACGTTGTCGTTGTGCTTCTTGTTGTACTCCTTGTGGGCGCCGTCGCAAAGTGGGAACGTCTCGGATCGCCAGCACCGGCACAACGATAACTTTTTGCCTGAAAAATATCACAATATTTCCATCCATTAGTTTTGTTCATTAAATTAAATTCAAGTCTAATTCAAATACAACAACAAAACAAACTACACTATTAAATGTTAAGTTTAATTAAGTCATAGCAACTATGAAATTAATTACGGTATTAATTAATCCAATGCAATGGATATTGAACTCAATTTCGTAAAATTAATCTAAATATTTTATTCTGCAATCAATATTCATAATGACTTTGACTTTAAAAAGCAAATAACTCGTCAAGAATTCAATGATATGAAGAGAATATAAAGTCAATAATAAATATCATTACATATTGTAATTATTAAATAATGATTTTGTAGACATATATGCAGACAAAGTACTGATAAGACTTCCGATAATAATAAGTATAAGAAGACAATTAAATTAGTGTTTATCTAAAAATGTTGTGATAAACCTCTCAGACAAGTGATGTTTATAATCAAACACTATATTCTCTTCAATTGAAATTAGTTTCATAATTAAATAAATTAAATGTTTAAAATCATTACTAAAACAGTATAAACATAATAATCAAATAAAGTTAATGTCTATACAAATAAACAAACTCTAAGACACTATTAAACAAATGAAACTTAAAATTAAAACAAACAAAAAAGATATTAAACATAATATCTTTGAATTTCGTACTCATTTCGTATGGATTGAAACAACTCTTGACTTTGAATCCAAACAATTACTTTGAAAACACAATTGGAAAATAATAAAATTCAATCCAAAAACTCATAACCGATAACTCAATTGAAAATTGAGATCAAATAAAATGAAATGAATTAAAATCATAAAAGAATGACAAATAAACACAATTGGATTAGACTTTGGATGACTTTGAATGAACACAATCGGAGTCATAATCGCCAACCTCTGGCTCCGGATCCGAACCGCAATTGTTATCAACGGCTAATCCGTCAACACTTAAGTCGTCCTCATCTTTAATACTGGTATTGAAGCTCATGTTAAACGCGGCCGACTCTTGTCTTATGCGATCCAAATAGTGATTCTTGAAATGGGCTTCACTTTTGTCCCAACGAACCAATAATTCGCTCAAAATCTCTTCATTATTATCGGTAATCGATGGTCTCTGGCCTCTGACTACAGGCATCTCTTCGCCGGCAAACAGATCGAAAGCCATATTCAACAGATTGTCTTCACTTATATCTTCGATCACTTTCTTTTTGCAGATACTTTTCGATTGTTTGGATCTCTGTTTGCGATATCTCTTCATTTCGCTGTCGTAACGCTTTTTGTCGGTTTCAGACAATTGGTGATAGTATTGTTTCTGCTCTTCGGACAACTTCTTCCAATTGTGGGCACATTTCTTTGCAAATTCCGCAAATATGAGCCGATCGTCGGCCGACAGACACAACCGATTGGACTCACTGTCGGCGCATTCGCTCACAAAGTAAGAATAGGCTGACCGCCGACCTCGAGGTCTACTCTCATCGCATTCTTCGCATTGGACACCACTTGTCGATGTCGTGCCGTTAGTGTTATGACAAGTTATCTCTTGATTATCGTCTGAGTTATTCAAATCCAAAAGAGTTTTTGAAAATAGTGTTTCAGTTATTCAGTGTTTTGATTAGAATATTAAATGAGTTTAATTTATTAATTATTAATCAAATTATATGTTGAGTGCATTTATATGAAAAGGGAGTGAAAATTGCAAAAGTGTTAACAAATTAGAAAATAGTGCAAACTTTGAGCCAAAAACTGATTCAATTATATAATTTCAATATATTTTTGGCATTCATTCAAATCAACAGTAAAACAGACCAAAAAACACAAGACTTTAGATTTAAGAAATTAAATCTTAAAAATGCAAACTTAAAATGTATTAAAGTAAAAGTATAGACACTAAATACAGTGCACTCGCCAATAGTGAACAATCTATTAATTGTAATTTCATTAACAGTTGTAATGCAAACTTAACTACAGTTGTATTAATTTTTAAGATTACAAAAGTAAGTTGATTATCGGAAAACTATCCAAACATGTGTTGTAAACAATGCAATTACAGTTAGTGTACAGAAAATTATAAATAAAGCGTGAGTAGACTGTATTATGAAAGTTAAGACTTTTGAAAGCTATTGAAATAAAACTTAAGACAAGAACCCATTCATTCATTACGTGATATCATGTGATAAAATAATAGTCAAAACATATATGAAATGTATTTTTCATGGAAAATAAATTCACAATAAATAAGATTTAATGCAATAATGAAATTATATATAACTTTTATATAAAGTGTGTGACAATAAAGTGAAGTAAATGTTTAGCATTTGTGACTAAAATCACGTCTCAAAAAGTAAAATGCGATTAAATTCAAAGAAACAGAAAAGGAAAACCATTTTTCCATTTTTCGATAACAAAATTCATACGAAATAAATCATATTAAATAAAATACACACAAAATATGCGATAAAAACTATATTTATATAACTTTAAGACTAATGAACAGAAAAATGTGTCAAATATTCTAATCATTGGTAAAGCAGAGAATATGTGTTGATTCAAACACTGTTGAAATAATAGAAATAAAACAAAATGTTTTACACAATACACTAATACTCTGTAAATCCTCATTCAATATCTGAAAACTAGTAATAAATTTAGTCCTAAATCTTATTTTGTCCGTAAAAATGCATTCAAAGGTATAATTAAGGATATTTTTGCATAACTTATAACAAAACTAAAAGTTATTTCCTATGGTTAGAGACAAAAGTAACAACTATTTGATATAATCAACACTTTTCTGCAACTCTATAATCACGAAATCTAATTAAATTAAATAAAACCCAAGTTTATAACAATTTTGACATATTTTTGAAACAACAAAAAACTTAAACATTGAGGAAAAAACATTTGCAAAATTGTGTGCAAAAACTTCAATCATATGTCGAGTGACGAGAAGTCGGGATCAAAAAGAAAACTTGATTTTCAACATTTCAGACAAACAATACATAACTACATAAATCATATTAAATAAAATACACACAAAATATGCGATAAAAACTATATTTATATAACTTTAAGACTAATGAACAGAAAAATGTGTCAAATATTCTAATCATTGGTAAAGCAGAGAATATGTGTTGATATAATAGAAATAAAACAAAATGTTTTACACAATACACTAATACTCTGTAAATCCTCATTCAATATATCAAAACTAGTGATAAATTTAGATCTGTCCGTAAAAATGCATTCAAAGGTATAATTAAGGATATTTCTGCATAACTTATAACAAAACTAAAAGTTATTTCCTATGGTTAGAGACAAAAGTAACAACTATTTGATACAATCAACACTTTTCTGTAACTCTATAATCACGAAATCTAATTAAATTAAATAAAACCCAAGTTTATAACAATTTCAACAATTTTGACATATTTTTGAAATAACAAAAAACTAAAACATTGAGGAAAAAACATTTGCAAAATTGTGTGCAAAAACTTCAATCATATGTCGAGTGACGAGAAGTCGGGATCAAAAAGAAAACTTGATTTTCAACATTTCAGACAAACAATACATAACTACAAGAAAAGCGACAAAATATATAAATCAAACATTAAATTATAAATTCATATCCAAAAAGCATTGAACGACAAAATATAACATTAATAATAGGACAATACAAACGAAACGATGGATTCATGTGATTGTTTGATACCTTTCTCGAGGTCTTCGCCTTTCAACACGTGTTTCACTTTCTGTTTGTGTTTCTCAATGAATGGATTCATCGATGGATTGTCGGCCGAAGAGGTGGACGACTGGCGCCGGAGTTTGTGGTGAATGTACAGCACGTAAGCGACGGACACCGATGTGATGATCCACGGCATCCACGGCCGCATCGATGGCCACATCCAAGACATGCCGACACTCCAGACACACGACCGATGGGCTCACGAAAGTGGTTAAAGTGGCGCTGATTTAGTGCACACTTCACTGCAAACACATTGTTTGGCTAATCGTTGAAATATATATTTACGAAATGCAATGTCGATAGCGTTTTGCCATTCAATACACACTTCACAGCAGTAGACAATACACTGAACGTCACATCCATTCAACACATAACTTACGTCTAACACACATATTATCATTATATACGTCCATATGTTTCGCTATTTTACCCGATTTTATATGACTATACTCTCTTACCGTGTGTTTTAGATACCATTTTAATTCAGTTTTAATTGCGATGATTAGTTTGTGCTAATAAGTAGAGGCTATGATTAGATGTTAGTTTAGTGTTGGCCTCAGTATTGAAATGATGTTTTGAGAGTTTCATTGAATGCAAAGTGTATTTGCTTTACACGACTAGAGATGGACCCAAACATCCACTATATTTGCGAAACATTATTATAACAGAATATTCTGTTATAGCGATTGTATTCTTACAAAGAATCCTATTATGCATATTAATAACTACTTTTAAAAGTGATATAAATTTTGCCACAGAATTGTCATATAATGTGTTATTTATAGGACATATAAATTGAATAAATAATGTTTTGCTTATATTTCTAACATTAGATAATTAACGATACAATGGATTACACCTTTAAATGCGATAATAATTGTATTTTCTTTAATAACTATTTTTGGCATTTCTATAAATATTTGATCATTACATTGA